TGTATTTTTACATTAAAGGTAGAGCTCCCTCGGGGCCACTGAGGTGCTTCAAAACATTGGTAAAATAGCTTGTTAAAAATGTTTAACTGGAGTCAGAAATATATACGTCTTGACAACAGTTTATAAGTTTTTCTCCCTTATAAAAGGTAATTTGTAAATGTCTAGCAGGTGCCCCTTTTAGAGGCAAAAATAACTCTGAAACTGGTGCTATTAATAAGAGAATTGTCTTCCAAAGGAGCGGATGATCCCTTCCCCTATGTTTATAAAGTACAACTTGCTGACAGCAGTAATTTACTCCTCAGACTGCAGTCATCTCTTACAGAAAGGAGACATGCTCTAGAAGAATACAGTCCGAGTTTGACTGTTTTTGGGTTTTGTTTGTTTTGTTTCAGTCTCTATACTTTCTCCTCTCACATCACACAAGATTTTTTTTTTCTCTCTGTTCCCCCCAAAAAGCTTTTTGCTGAATATTTTCTTTCTTGAGCATTCACTATCTATTTCTGGAGAAAAAAAAATAGTTTCAAAGAATTATCTTCTCTTTAAAACTAAATGTTTCTTGTACTCTTCTTGGTACAGATTTGATCGACCAAGGGTGTCTCTTAGCTGAGTTCTCTCCAGGAAATTTACTCTTTCTACTGCTTTACATAGACAGACAGCTTTGATGAGAAATACTTTAGAATGCTCATCTTTCAAGTACAGGAAAAGACTATGTTAGGATGTAAATTTTTTTCTGACTATAGAGCCTGTTAAATGCATAGTAATATTTGTGTTTACATTTAAAAAATCTGATCTATTTGCTTGCCAGCTTTGGAGCATTCGCTGCAAATGTTCATTGCTCCATGAAAAGCAGTTTCAATAAATAACAGCCTGAAATGGGCTCCGTTGCAGTTAATTTGATTTATAGGAATTAGAATAATAATGCTCTAAAACGTATATTAAAATAACTCTGCTATCTCTAACATTGTTATTTCTTAAAGCAAACAATTTAGATAGAAACGTCATTTGATAAAAATAATTGGTTCACGTAAAATGGGACTCACATTCTTTTGCCAGACTCAGAAGCTACTCTTCAGTGTACTTCATTAGACGCTATTCTCATTCATCTTGAAGTCTTAAGAAAAGAGCCACCTTCTTTATTTTTAAAAATTATTTTTTAAAAAGTAAACAAATGCAGGGAAGATGGAATAAAATTTCTAACCGAATTTACTTACTGCTATTCAATTCTTTAAACATTTTCCTAGGGGACAGGAATGTCATATGTTTAGTTTCAGGACAAAGGCACCTTTTTAAATGACGAGCTTTAAGGAAATCTATAAAGAAGTTTGTTTAATAGAAAGTAGGCTCACTAAACTTTTGGTTATAAAAATTATCTCATTACAAAGTTAGAAAATAACTAATCTAATGAACTTTAGAACTACTGTAAGGTTAATCTTTAATAAAGAGCATCCTTAAAAAAAAATAAAAGCAGTTACAAGCAACTTCTAGAATTCATTTTGGGTAACATGTCCAGGGACACATTGTTTTATTGTTTTTCTTTGGTTTTCTATGGTAAAGCTGATTATCTGTATAACTTGAGACTGTTTTCAGGTAGTGGTTTTATGCAGGGCTAGTGTTATACAGTTTAAAACCAAAACCTTAGAGTCGTATAACATTAATTGACTCATTTATCAATTGTGGATTATTATTACCACTATTATTATTTTGCCTGAGAAATGACCAAACTATATACAAGCAAGGAATTAAAACAATTCAGGTTCTTGGCAATGGTTTAAAGTTTCTCTAATAGATTAGAAATTAATTAAAAGCCCCTTGCATGTGATTCATTAATATTCATATTTATATTTTGAGACTCAAATGAATTTAAAAATTTAAGATCATTAAATGATTTTAGCTACATGTTGTGTTATGGCAAAAATATATATATATTGTAAGCTTTTTCATTTAAAAGAGTGTTTATATTTATGTTGCTTTTTAATAGAAAGTTGCTAAATGTAAAAACACTTGTTAATATGTTTTATTTGTTAATGAAAACAATTTCATAGATATTAATAAATCTTCACTTTCTTGGCTACTTTCTAACATTTTTAATTTATTTTAGAATACAGATATTTATTTTAAGGGGATAGGTAAATATATTTGGAATTCGCATTCACATCAGTGAAGGAGAGTTTAAACTCTCCAACAGGATAGTGAACTTTTTACTGGGATTCAGTTTGACTGCCTTGTATATGATTTGACAGAAGTAGCTAGTGAAATCTAACCAAAACCAGAAATCAACTGAGAGTATAGTCAAGAAGGAAAAAGGAAGACTTGGAGGAAATGATATTTTCCCATCAGTGGATAGGCATGCATACATTAAAGGCATAAAAGCCAGCAGGCGGAGAAACAAAAGCTGTATACTGAGGATTCTGCAAGTCTGAATTAACCAAATGGAAAAAAAAAAATGAAATCATTCTGCTTAAACTTGTTCACTAATAAAAGGAGAATCGCTTTTGTTAAATATGCTTGGTGTGATTATCAAGCAAAATTTTTTTCTCCCAGACATCTATGAATAAAACATGTGTTTGAGCACTAGGTAAACAAACAATAAATGGATGAGTTCAGTTGCAACATAATAACATTTTATTTAGAAAACATATATAATCATATTTGTATTGGCAATCCAAATTTAATGACTTCTTTCAGTAAAATTAAAGTGCCTCACAAATAGCATCTTATACATAAGGACTGCTTATTCTTTGCCCATCTTTTTTCTATTTTTCCTAAGAAACAGATTTTGAAGGTCTCTGCTGAACCCTGTATAGACCAGATGAAGTGTGATTTCTCAGGAAAAAATGTTCTTTGGAATCATCTTAATTTTAGGTTACAGACGCTGTAAAAATAAATTTTAAAATACATTTCTAGGGCTGAGAGAGAAAATGTTCTCAAGTCTAGTGTGCCTTGGGCGGCTTTGAACAAGGCTCTGTGTGTAGCTGAACCACAGCCTTTGGCTTATTAGCCGTTTCATTAACACAACATCTTCTGTAAACTATGAATGAGAAGAAACCATTTACAATAAGGAAAGCAAACAACAGAATGAATTTCCTCTGTTGGTGTTTTATAAGACTGTTAAACAGAAAATGGAGGGAAGAACTCTCTTTAGACGATATCACTTAATTAAGTAAAGCATCCTAATCAGAGTCCCCTCCAATTGTAATGACTGTAGGGAGTCAAGTACATTTCTGTCTATATTAGAGTATCTAACTGCAATGATTTATTGATATTTATTTTAGAAGTACAGCACAAAAGCAATAAAACAGGAGAAGCAGGGAGAAGGGAGCTATTGCTTACTGCAGGTACAATCAGAGCACTTCAGCAGAATTCCTGATTTTCTTGTGGGAGGTTTTCCTTTCTAAAATAAGAGCACATTTTTAGATGAGAATGTTCTTTTACCGCATTTGACTTCTATTCCAAATATTCACTGTGACATTTCTTTGTCCATTGGTGAATCATTGATTCACTTTCTTCTCTGCAAGAATCACCACAAATGAGTGGGTGAACACCTGCTGTTTTCTGCAGTGACATTCCTGGATTGCATTCTACACTGATTTTAGACTTAAAATACAGCTTCTCTGTATGAGAGAGATTTGAGGCAGGAGAGTCAATACACTGGATAGTCAGGCAGACATTGGCTGCCCTCCAAGCTGCACACAGCATAAACCTGTTTATCTGCTGCATTTCACAAATCTCAAAAACACTGAATAATCAGGCAAGCAACTGGATAAGTGATTCACACTAGGGAATCTAACCAATATTCTGATGAGAGGGTCCTATGATACTAAGACATTGGGGCAAATAGACTTGTATTATAGAAATTGCACATAATAAACTTGATTAGTGGTTCAAAGGAAAAAACATTGTATATCAAAACAGGTGTATACAGAATATACAGGTATCCCAACTCTGTGGATTTTGGTTGGATATTTATGTGCAAGTTATCTGGATAATTGAGTTCAAAGATACACTTTCAGCCATACCTTTCTAATAATTTGAGCAATGTACCTTGGATAACTTAATATTAGTTATCAAGATAATTTATTTCTAGATTCCTTGATCTAAATATTGGAGGCCAGTGCCTTAAGACCCCAAAATACAATAACATATATTTAAAATTAAATTACCAAACATGCTTAGAACCTACTTTGTGGAAGTAAACATTTCTCAAATAGTTACACTCATTTTTATAATTGAAGATTATTTGCTTGGTTGGGTCGGGAAGACCCCTTGGAGTAGGAAATGGCAACCCACTCTAGTGTTCTTGCCTGGAAAATCCCATGGACAGAGGAGCCTGGCAGGCTACAGTCTATGGTGTTGCAAAGAGTCAGACATGACTGAGTGACTGAGGATACATACACAATTGCTTCGTAATAAGTGAATTAGGCAAACAAAGGTACAATTATTGATATATTTGCTATTTTGATTATCTCTCTTAATTTCTATTATTCCTTCCTGAGTTGCTGATCTTTCAGCCTCTCTCTTGTTTTGTTTTGTTTTGTTTTTTTTTAATCTCAAAGGTTATTATTGTTCTTTAGCATTCAGTTGTAAAATGAAAGTTCTCAAAAGTTTAGGTGGTGGTGGTTTAGTCACTAAGTTGTGTCCAACCCTTGTGATCCCATGGACTGTAACCTGCCAGGCTCCTCTGTCCATGGGATTCTCCAGGCAAGAATACTAGAGTAGGTTGCCATTTCCTTCTCCAGGGGATTTTCCTGACCCAGGAATCGAACCCCTAGTCTCCTGCATTGCAGGGAGATTCTTTACCAACTGAGCTATGAGGGAAGATTTGGGGCTAGTTTTGGGGCTAACCTCAAAAGTATGCTTTAGTTCTAAAGATCTATTAAGATTGTTTATGAATTTTAGGCTTGCATTACTTCCATAAACTAGACCTGGTTATAATCACAGTAAGATGAATTGTCTGTTTGCTTGGTTTGTCTGTCTTATTTACCTTCTAGTATAGTCCTACCATGTTAGTACCAAGAAAGGTAGGAACATTTGCAAACACAAAATGCTGTTCCAGAGAAAAGAAGAGTCATATAAAGCATTTAAATTATTGTTGTATACCCTACAACTTCCTTTTTCTGTATTGCAGAGAGAAAGACTAATTGATAAAACTTTTGACACGGGAAAACTTGGTTAGATTAGTAACCAAAGATGTCATCATCTTAGCTACAGAAAATCTTGGAAAAGGTAGGTTACCTGGAAATTGATATTTCAAATGAAATGTTGCTACTTTCAAGCTTCTTGATTAAAGCCTTGCCCCAAGGGAACCTATATTTGGGTCTGTTGCCAGTCGTACTGTCAATTTTTTTTCTTGCTTTGACATTTTCTCTTTTTCTTGCTTCATCTCAGGTTTTCTTTCTTCAGGATCAGACGCAGAAACTGATTGAATGGCTCCACTGATCAGGATTTGAAAAACCAAATCTCAGAACCTACCACTTGGTGTGTGTCTGCCTTGAGCAGTTTCTTCTTTAGCAACAGGACACTTGCATAATATGGGAGCATCTTTTCTTCTTCACTTCTCCCTGATTTTGTAAAACGTGATCAATTTTTTTCCCCATAATTTTTAAAGTTAACTTCATGGGAAATCTCGTTGCAAACACAATGTAAAAGCTAAAATGCATCTTTTGAAAGACGCGTGTAGGTAAGTGTCAGTTCTAAGTTTGGGGGTAGTCGAGTGATATTAAAATTACTGCTAATCTCATCAACAATCTGAAAGCTCAACACCTGGATTTTTGAAACCATGGGAAATTTCACTAACCTCTCTGTATGACCTGGATTTTGAGTGTACGTCCATAAAGTTGTAGTTGTGCCTGTGAGCCTCAACTGAGATCAACCATAACTTTTCCCTCAGCCACACAGAACTCTTCTGGAGGATTTTTTTAAGTGGTCATTGTTCACTATGACCAAAATTTCAAAAATGATCGCTAAACCCCATAAAATCTATATACCATAGCAACCTAAGAAATAATAGATTGGTTGTGAGTGAACTTTTTGCTTATGAAAACAATACAAACAGGATATAAAGTTTTAAAATATTCCTTTCTTTTCCCCTAGCCCCTTCAATCCTTGCAGTGAAAGCACTGAATCCTAACCACTGGACCTCCAAGAAACTTCCTCTCATATACATTAACAGACACTTTACAGCAATAATTTTATTTATTTATTTGTGGCCACGCTGGGTCTCTGTTGCTGTTCGGGCTTTTTTCTGTTGTGGAGAGCGGGGACTACTCTCAGCTATGGTGCATGGCCTTCTCGTTGCCGTGGCTTCTCTTGTTGCGGAGTTCAGGCTCCAGGGCAAATGGGGTTCAGCAGTTGCCCATGTGAGTTCAAATTAGTTGTGGTGCCGGGGCTCTAGATCACAGGCTCAATTGTTGCAGCTCATGGGCTTAGTTGCTCGGCAGCATGTGGGAATCTCAGTTCCCTGGCCAGGGATCGAACCCGTGTCTCCTGCATTGGCAGGCAGACTCTTTACTACCGAGCCACCGGGGAGGCCTCTAACAGACATTTACAAGCAAGTGTATCTTCTTTTAAATCTCAAGTAACATCATACAATATATTTACTCTTCTGAACTTCCTTTTATTCACTTAGCAATGTATTTTGGCTGCATGTTGCCCTATATGTGGGTCTACCCCATTCTCCTAGCAGTTGCACAGGATATCAGGTAATATGATATTATGGATCTAATGTACCCATATTGGTGCTTATTTAGAGTGCTTTCTTTTAGACTTTTTGCTTTCTCAAATAATAGTTTAGCAAACATATGTGTATTTTGTGAACTTCCATAAATTTTGGTAGAATTAATTTCTTGATGTGAAAGTGCTAGATAAAAACACATTTACAATTTTTGAATGATATTGTCACATTATTGCTACAACCAAAGAGGGTCTTTCAACTTACTTTTCACTCACTGTTGAGAGGCAGGTGTTTTGACAAGGGCTGAGGGGAGTTCTGTGTGTGGCACATTCGCCTGCCATCCTGTCTCTTCAAGCGTGGCTCTTCTACATAGCTCAGTGGCAGCCGCGATGGTACGTGAAGGCCTGGTGGAGAAAGAGAACATTCCTGTGGGCTGTGTGCTGCGGTAGCAGCGATGGCTGGGCCGGGGCAGCCCTGGGATGGTGAGGGAATGAGCTGGCAGGTACAGCTGCCATCATTAGGATCAGATCTGAGCTTTCACCCCAACTTGCTGGCAGTCTTCCTGACAAATGTGGGTGGGTCACAGAGCAGGATCAGGAGTCATTCACACAGGCTATCATGAGAATGCAGATGGAGGAGAATAAGAATCATATCAAACACACACACACACACACACACACACACACACACCGTAACGCAGCTTTTCTTTCTGTTCAGATTCTTTTTTAATTAATTTTTATTGGAGTATAGTTGCTTTATCTGCTCAGGTTCTTAGCCAGCTGTGTACTTAACTTTTTTTTTTTTTTTTTTTTGCATCTTAGGCTGGGCTTTTAAGTTAGGGCTGGTCTTAGTCACTCGTGGCTGGTCTTCAGCAGGCAGTGGTCCTCCAGGCATCCTCTCCATTTACTATTCAGTTTCTCTGTGTTCAAATAGCCCAGAACACTTATGTGACATGTCCCAGTCACTGGATTTGAAGACACATTCTCATCCTTGAAACTTCTACTCCTTATTCAGTATTTTCATCTGGCCTGGCATCTTGTAAGTCCCATTTTTATCCTTAAATAGAAACTTGGAAGTGCCTCTTAATTTACACCCTTGATTTCAGCCTTTTAAGTTGAGGGTTGCTTTAACGTTCTTAAGGATATAGTTACATGAGGAAGTTTAGTTTGTATTCTGCATTAGCATGCTAGGTGCTATGTAGGGGCTGTGGATACAAAGACGAATGAAACACAGCTCATGCCTTCCAAAAGCTGATAAATAGTGAAGAGAGCACAAACTGAAGTACAGACTACTCTTTGATAAGTAAGATGGAGGTATTTAATAAAAGTTCTATGAAGTCCCACTTCTGGAAATGTATCCTACAGATATATCTGTATGTGTATGAAAGGACACATAAACCAATTGTTCACTGAAGCATTGTTTGTGATGGTAAGAGTTAGGAACATTTTGAGTGTCTGTTGACAAGGACGCTTTATGGAGTTTTAATAAATGCTCACTATCTATTGATAGGAAGTGATCTCCAGGGTGTATTTCTCTATGAAAGAAGCAAACTGCAGAATATGTATAGCATGTGTTGCTTTTTGTATATGAATATAGGAAAATGAGATAGGAAGTATAGGAGAATTAATAATGTCTGCTTGAATATGCATAAAAATATTTAAAGACTCCCAAAGAAACTAATGCACACGCTTACCTCTAGGGGGCATCAGGAATTAGTAGGGTGGATGGGAAAAAGGGGTGAAGCACAGCTTCTCAATGCATGCCTTTTTATGTCATTTTAACTTTTGTACAATGTGAATGTATTGTCTGTTCAAAATTATATTAAGTATATTTACATTATAAGATGAAATTCCCCCTCTCAAAGCTCTGCATGCTCTAGAGGTACATGGGAGTGCTTAGCTACTTTGATTTGGGATAAAGATCATTACATGGGACTAGACAAGGAGACCCTGAGCAAGAGAAAGTAGCCTTTTTAGAGACCGATGACTTTTTCTTACTGTATTGTTAGACCCACTATCCCAAGGAAGTTATATTCAGCAGAGCTAGGAGGAAGAACTTCATTCTCTACAAAGTTCTCAGCGATGAAATTGCTTATAAACATGGAACATATCTAAGACATGGGGTAGATTTCATTCTTTAAACTTCCTACAGGCCAGGCTGTTCAGAGTGGCCATTTCAGGTTTCCCGTGATGGCTTTGTCGGAAAGGCATAATTTGCCCATACCTTGAGTTGACCTGCTGAAGTCATGAAATTGAGACATGTGAACATTTCTTTAATTTTTCATGCAGGTCTTATGCTGAGTTGCAAAGATAGATTACTTGCTTTGCCACAGAAATGCTACTTTTCTTTGACAACCATGTGCTCCCTAAATTTCCCATAATACCACATTAAGGTGATTCAGTGTTCTTGCCTGGAGAATCCCAGGGACGGGGGAGCCTGGTGGGCTGCCGTCTATGGGGTCGCACAGAGTCGGACACGACTGAAGCGACTTAGCAGCAGCAGCGGGATAGAATTAGATCTTGAGATTTCTTTGGTCATTTCTGTGAACTGAGATTATAAGGTTATGAAAAAATGAGGTAGAGAATAAATAACTTGTGAGGAAAAAAGTGTTGATGATAATTTCATGATTATAAGACAGTGGTAGGAGATTGTTGAAGAGTGATATAATCATCACACAAACTACCCAGGGACAGAAAAGACTGCTGGTGGATGAAGGAGATTTTACTTCCTTGTACGTGTCTGCCCTGAATTTACTCACTGCGATGTCAGTGACGACTACTACTACACAGCTGCCACGCTTCCTGCCTTTTCGGTTTATTTCCGCCGTTTTTGTCTATAAGATTATACCCAAGTGATAAGCCCTGACTACCCAGGGAGCAGTGGCAAGTGGCTGGAAACATGGGGGTGGGTGAGCGTGAAAGCAGGTGACTCAGCACCTTCAATTCACCAGTTTATTTCCGTGCCCCTCTGCCCACCCTGTATCATTTCATCTCTCAATTGGTCTCAAATCAGTCCTGTGTTAAAATCCTGGTGACTTGGGAACAAGGCTTCCAGAGATGACAAAGTAGCCTTATAACTTATTCAGCCTAAACCTAGTATCAGGTTCTTTTTGCAAGTGCTAGTGAGTCACTATTTTTATGTGATTACCATGCAAACATGAACATGTTAAGCGAGCTATTGCCAGCAATCAGGGCCACTTGTTAACATAGCATCAGTAAGAGCAACTCAGGTGAGAAACAACTCTGATTATAGGCATTTAGCCCAAATGTACATCAGTTGTAACTCCTTAAATGTATTCTTTTACCAGCTAATTGAAATACTTTATCAGTGAAAGTCTTGACACAACAGTTATACAAACACACATCTAAGAACATGGGGAAATTAAATAAGACTTACAATATACACTTTAACAAAATGATGGCTTAATTTATACTCCCTTTGTAATTTTAACTAAATATTGTGGCTAGTATTTCTTACTTTAACTCCTAAGTATATGGGCATTTATTTCACACAATATAAAAATACTTCAGGAGGCTTGTGGTTAACACCATGGTATTCAGGCACAGTTTATAGAGACTTTCAGTCAAAGACAAAAGGTCCAAGTGGATGATAAAACACATGAAATAGACATACATATACAACAAAGGACTTAATTTAGATGTCTCATGTCAGCTGAGCCCTAGCTCTTGGCTTATCAGGAATGTCTCCAAACAAGCATGTTCTGTACCTGGCTCAAGGCTGCCTTGGGGGCCAGTCCCTGGGTAGGGTGGTTAGATAAATACAGGGTGCCCAGTTACATTTTAATTT